ACGATGTATCTTTGCTAGACTTTGTTTTTATTTTTATTTTTTTTATCTTATTTTGATTTGGTCTTTTGCATGCATATCATATAATTTAGTTTCGTTTATGTATTTCGATTTCCGTAATTGTGTTATGTTTGTCACATGCATTTCATTTAGGATCGAGTGTAATTTGCATTTACGGGTTATATTGAAGCAAAGCAATTAATGAATTAGTAGATGGGCTAGTTGATTTTAAAATTGAAATTATGGATCACCGGCTAATTATAGATGAACCTTCCTACTGCGTTTTTGCAACTTGTGTGGATAGCCTTTTGAATCCTTTCCGATTAAGTTTGAGCGCATTTTTCTGAGGGGTATAATAGCCTGAGGTTTGGGGGGCGAGTTAGAATTGAATTATGTGTTCACGATTTCGAGTTGTTGGCTAAAAGTTCTATCAATGGTCTTTAAGTTTTTATTTTATGTTAAAAAAAAAAAAGTTGTGATGAAAATCACAATATATTGTTGTTGTCATTTCTTATTGAATAAAAAGACCTACTTATGCCCAACTCGAGTTTTTTAATTTCACAATCAAAACTTACTTTTCACCCACATTTCTACTCAAAACCCTCGATGATTGTGTTTATTGTTTAATTACGGATTCTTGAGTCTATCTTTCATTTTGGTGTAGCAACAACTAATTACGGATTCTGAGATTTTAGGTTATCTAGCTCATTTTATCTTTGGAATTAATTGCAATGCTTTGACCAATCCGGCAACTTTGTGGGTGTGTTGTCTGAAAACCCTCACGAGGCACAACTCATCCTTTGGGGGTACCCAGTGGTTCAAAGGCTTGTTGCATATGCTAAATGCAATCGTGATTCCCTACGTTAGTGGCTTAGTTTAGTTTGTTGTTTTTATTTCCTTTTTGTTGTTGTTTCGTTTTGATTTACTCGGGACGAGTAAAGATCTAAGTTTGAGGGTGTGATAAGTGTTCGTTTTGCACGATTTTTGCTTATCAAATCTTCGAGTTTTGGTCTTCGTTCGTCCGAGTTTCGGCTTTATTTGTATATATTATTGTGTTTCTTGTTTTATTTCTATTTCAGGGTTTTATTAGGTATTTTTGCCGAGTCGAAGCCATTTGGAATTGAAACCGAATTTTCAAGCCAATTTTGGGGCCAAGAAGACCCAGATCGCGATCCAGCATTCCGGATCGCGATCTGGGGGGTTGTCACAGTTCGAAAATGGATCAAGACCCAGATCGCGATCCAGCATGCCGGATCGCGATCTGGGGGTGCTGACAGAGAAGAAAAATGGGTCAAATCCAGATCGCGATCTGGGGGGTCCGACAGAGCAGAAATGATACAGGACCCAGATCGCGATCCACATTCCTGGATCGCGATCTGGGCACGCCTTTTGAGGTAGATATTTTATTTTACAAACTTCTTGAGGAAGCTTTGCATTTCACTATAAATAGAAAGGCCCTTTCATTCTTCATTCCATCTTCGACTTTTTACGGTTTTTCGACAGTTTTTCGCGGGAATCATCAACGGGGGTTCCGACTTGGGTTTTTCTTACGCAATTTCTTTACGTTTTGTTCTTCATTTCTTTTGTACATTCTTTTGATACTATGTTTGTTATAAACTAAGAACATTTCCTTCTAGGGTAATGAAGCCTTGTATATATTGATTTCGATCGTCATTCCTATTATCTATTTGTCGTGTTTTCATTTCGTTTATGTTTTCTTGTATTAAATGCTTCTGATTGTGTTGATCAGCTCTCAGATTGATATTAAATAGGAATGAACTCGAGAGAGAATTTCTTGTTTGAAGTTACGAAAACATAGCTCGGGGTGTGGAAACGGAGACGTGATGCACTTCGGGTAGCCCTTAAGGACTTGACCTAAAAGCTCTCTTAATAGCAGGTTCTGAACGGAGACGTCGGACCTGTGGGTAGACTCTAACTACACTGGAGACGGGGGTTAGAGTACATTAGCGTCTGGGTTAACGAATTGTGATTTTGGATAGCGGATTTGTAGATCGTTGTTGATTATACATAGGTGGATTTGGCCCTAGAAGTCCCCTTTAAATCGAAGTCCCCCCGCGTTGAGTTGTCGTTACTTTATTTACGTACATTCTATATTTGCATGTTTACGATCTTGCATGCTTTTAAATTAGGGTTTCTCACAATTCCAAATATTTACGATCGGCTAGATAATATAACGATAATATAATTACACTACTCAGCATGTGAATCTACAAGGTCCCTGTGGATCGATATCCGGAACCACTGTTCTGCAAAATGCGATACTGTATACTTGCGGTAATTTATACGTGAGGAAAACGCGTATCACTTCATACTCCAATAGACCAGAATAAAAAAGTGTAAACAAGGACTGTCACAAAATAGCAGAAACCTACATGCTAGAATTCTCAAAATCGAACGAAAAATCGGAAACATGCTTAACCACATTCACAACAGCAACAGAGTTAGAAGAAAATATAAACAAGAATATACAAGGTCTGGCATAAAATACCCACAAAAGTGATGTCAGAGGTAAAGTAAAGCAAAACACTCAAAATCGCACGAAAAACCCCAAAAAATGCAAGAACTGTATATCCAACAGTACATGAAAAAAAAAATTATACTATACCTTAAGTGAAGCAGCTCAAACACTCAAAATCGCAGAAAAATCACAAATAAGCAACAATACTCGTTTTGTGTAAAAATGCAATTTCTGGTGCACCACAATTTGTTATTTACAAATCACGAGGCACATCTATGATCATCTTATTTGAAAATGTGGAGCTCGAATGGGGCAAAATTGAAGAATATTCAGCATAATCTAGAAGATTCCATTAATTTCAATACGCCAACATTTCATACCGTTTATCGAACTGGATATACAATTTAGTTCGATAAATAACCGAATTACATAACTTGTATGTAAAAATATTTAAAAAGTGTGTTTTTCCGTAATTTAATCTTACCTCATGGGGTGGTGGTATAATCGAGAAAGAAGAAACAGATTGCAAATCGCATTGAAACTTCAAATAACACTGGAATATTGTACTATAATCGAGAAGAAAGGGAGTGCAAACCCTAGGACAAAATAAAATGAATTGAAATTGGGGTAGTGCAAATAATATTGGGGAATCTGCTACATTAATACGACGTCGTTTTGTTCTTTATGGGGACGACGTCGTTTTGTTGTTTAAAGGGAGTTAAGGGTATTTTTATATTTTCCTGTCTCAACATTGCCTAAAATACACGCCCACTCACACGAAACGCGAGTGCACTTCACTAGGGATGGCGAAAAAACCCGAACCGCTAGCTATCCGCGGGTATCCGCTCCGTTTAAAACCCGTTACCGAAACCATTAGGGTTTGGTAGTGGTTTTGGTAAAAGAAAAAAAACTGTCTGGTATGGTTATGGTTTTACCTTTACGGTCATGGGTACCCGACCATTTAATATATATATATATATATATATATATATATATATATATATATATATATATATATATCAACAATATGAATAAAAAAAATTAATTTTACGAAATTTTAAATAAAGTATTAAATAATTTAGGGAGGATATATTTGTATAATTTTATTTTTCTTTTCTTTTTTCTTCCTCTTTTCTGAGAGTTACTTAAACGTTATCAAGACCTAAAGTTACTTTTGTTTTATTACCATAATTTAAATGGTAAATGGGTACCCGTGGGTACCCGGATATTTGTGGTAATGGTTCTGGTATTTCCATGAACTTTTTAAAAGGGTTTGGTATGGTCATGGTTTGAGCTATATTAAATGGTAATGGTTCTGGTATTGCACTTTTTTTAGGAGTTAAATGCAAAAACACCCCCTGTGTTTTTCCTAAAGGCCAAAAAACCCCTTGGGAAAAAATAAGTGACTAAAACCCCCATTTGATTAATAGTCAAAGTCATACACCCCCCTCTATGTCGTTCGTGTCATTCACGCGCTACCAATGTGACTGCTTGTGCGATTTTTTGTGTGAAAAGACACAATTGCCCCTCTAAATCTCTCTTAGTTTTCCTTCTTCCATTTTCAACCAAAAAAAATAAAACAAATAATTACTAAATATAAATAAATTAATCAAAAAAGAACAAAACAAAAAAAAAGAAAAAAAGAAAATTGGAATTTCTTCCTCCGTCAAACTCACGCCAACCCCAAAAATTCATCTTCTTCACTCATCTTCTTCTGCGACGTTGTAATCTTCTTCGCTCATCTTCTTCTCCGACGTTGCAATCGACGTTGCCCAGCGACCGCCGCCGCCGCCGCGAGTTCAGATCTCCTCCAAAGTCGCCGCCAATTCGAGGTCCGGCGAACTCCACTTCGTCGAATTCTCCGACGAATAGCAAAGCCCGTCGCAAAATCCTCTCAAACGCAGCTGCCGCTGCAGCCGCCGCTAAGTGAGAGTTGAGTGGGTGAGTCGTGTCTATGTGAGGTATGAGCTGAGAAATTAAAATCGAAAGTGTGCGTTTGCTGTATTTTTTTTTTCAATTGGAGAAGAGGGCTAAATTGAAAGTGTTAGGGACTGAATTGAAATTTTTGAAAATTTCATTTCAGTCATAAAATTCTAGAGGTTGAACATATCTATCTGGAGGGCTTTTTTGTCTTTTCGCAAGCGGTCAACGGACAAAAATAAAAACGGGTCGAGTGTGCTTGATTGAACACTTGTTAGGGGGTTTTTTGTGACATATTTTTTCCCAGGGGGTTTTTTGGCCTTTAGGAATTACACAGGGGGGGTTTTTGCATTTAACTCCTTTTTTTAGGGTATCCGCCCCGCTGCCATCCCTACACTTCACGTCGACCTCTCAGGGTTCTTAATGTCGTTGACTATCTTTCATAGGGGGTATGTGCTAATTATTTTAACATATGGACTCTTTTAGCCATTAAACATTACACAGGGGTACCGAATGCTAAAACCTATACTTTTAAATAATAAGAACAAAAATATTTTTCATAATTCCCCTAAATTTGTGAAAAAAAAAAATTTAACTCCTAAAAAATCAAAGTTATATTCATTGAATCAATCATTGTACATAAAGCCAAACCACCAGAACTGAAATTACAAGCTGAGGAGACAGAAATTTACCTACAACGAATACAATAAATGAAATAAATACTGAGAAATTGAAAACATATAAAAAAATAAAAAATAAAATCACTTGCAATTCAAATTCTCCACCATTCTAGTAGCCAAATTGACAATCCAATCACAATTCATGTTTCCAGATTTATTCTTCTTAATAATCTTCATTAGATGCACCTTCCCATTAACCCTAGCTTGGCTGCTCAGCCTCAAAACCCCGGAATTTATGTCATTTCCCAAATTCGTATTATTACCGTTCAACCTGTCCGAATTTAAATCGAAAGAAACGTTAAATTTCAATGTTTTTCTAGCTTTAACACGTCCCCGGGGAATAACAGCTTCACCGAGTGGTACCCCATTGTACAAGATGGCAAGCGTGGCGTTGTCGTACTTGAATTGCCCGAAATTGGTGTTCTTTATTGTGAGCTGAGTCAGCAGCCTCATGTTGATCGAAGGTGTGGGGCCCGCGTTGTTGCCGTTATTTGAGGTGAAGCTTTCGACCGCAATTGCGTTGAATCGGATTTTCGGACTTTTTATTTTCAAAACCGTGAGAGCTAAAACCATAATAACGGCTGCTTGGAACAACACGAACACCGCCACGCAGGCCAAGCATTTCTTCGCCATTTTCGGTTAATTAGTACTATATATGAACTAACTTTAATTCGATCAAATTTATCGAGAAAAAAAAAATCTATATAATTATATATAATTATATAGATTTTTTCTTTTTTCTTTTTTCTTTTTGAGATGATGAAATGATGAGTTTGAAAGAACGGGGTTGTTTGTGTAGATATATATAGAGAAAGGAGTAGTTGTTAATTTGAACATGAAAAAGGGATTTATGTGCAATTTTAAACAGTAAAGCGTGTTTTGGAGGACTTTTGAGTTTTGACTGTGTGATAAGGCGTGAGAAGGTTCCATCAGTTAATCATATGCTAATTATTAATTAATTAATACTTCATCAACTTCATTTGGCAAAAGATTAGCTTTGAAATTTGAATATCTACTTTCATTGAATTTACAATTTAGTCAATTTGAGACAACCCACCTCCCATAATTTAAAAAAAAAATATAATTAATATCAAGTGGTAAGAATGTTTTATTATCACGTTCTTCTCCATAATTTTATTTTATTAATTACTTCCTATGTCTCATATTGATTGTCTTTTTAGAAATTTTTTTTTTTTTCATACCAAATTATCTGTCATTTTACATTTTTAATGAATCATTAGTTGCATTATTTTTTGTTTTACTATTTCATCACTCCTAATTAATTAGTTATAAAACAATTAATGTCAAAGATATTTAAGTATTTTTTCATAATAATATATTCACATATATTGATTTTCTTTATATGTGCGCAAGAATTCAAAACGTCATTTACATTGGAACGAAAGTAGTATAATAGTTAATTTCTCGGTATTATGTTGGAGATCAATGAAGCAATTGCCAATTGTAATGACAATTATACTATTTTCGATGTATAGGGAATGTTTGGATTCGTTTTTGGACTTATTTTATTTTGAGGAAATATGTTTTGATTGAATAATTTGATAATGAAAGCAATGCTTGTTTATATTTTGAGATGAGACAAGACGCATCGTAGTAATCAAATTATGTTTAAATGTATTAGAAAATAAGTTTTTAGGATAAGAATATGAAAACTAAAGTGTGCCGATTGTTTGTTTTATAATGACTCTAAGAGTCAAATATTTTTACTATCGCAATCAAATTGTCTCTGAATGAGAAATAATTTTTTTTAAATTTTAAAAAAAAAGTGTTTCCGAAAATCTTAACAAATAAAAATTCATTTCTTGGACAGAATAAAATTGAGATGAAAACCGAACCAAACATTACCTATACATCACGCGGATTCTCAACTTATATACGACCATAATTAAAATGGACTTACCTTAACAAAAAATTATGTTAAATTGGAATTGATCATAGATCTCTAAGTTGCTTTAATTGAATAATTGATGTGGAAAGAAAGCCCTCGAGTTGTACAGGTCTTCCACTTGCTTAGGCCTCCATAAATTTAAATATATATATATTAGAGGTATTTTTGTAATTTTATTACTATATATTATCAATTATAAGAATAATAATCGCTTATAGTCGGTGGCTCACTTTCTCTCGGACACATCTTGAATTGAATATTTAAAATTTAATAAAGTTTTATGTTTTCTATTCTTTCTTTTATTTAAAGGGTTCAAGTTAAACTGTTATGTTTTTCTAAATTCAGTCTAATTCGAACGTACATAGTGCGAAAGAAATAAAATCACTCTGCAATACTGAAAAAAAAAAAAAAACTATATTTTCCTACAAAAAAAAAATTATTATTATCTCACTAAAGCATCTGATTGATGAATCTTTTATTGTAATTGATGAAAATGTTCGGAAGAAAAATATATATTTCGGATAACTTGCTAACAAAATAGTTGAAGGAACTTTATGTTCCTTTACTTTGTATTTGTAAAGGAATTTTTTTGTTATAAAAAAAATATAATTTTTAACTAAGTTAATGAGATGTATTTATATTTTTGCACTTTGCAGTTTCGAAAGGATTGATGAATATATATTTTTTTTTAATTTGATAATTGTTATTCTAAAAAATAGGATCAAAAATATTTTTTACCTTCACTAGCTTTAAAAACTCATTCGGAGTGCATTATGCATTATTTATTGTGTGTCGACATTAATATTTTTCGATAGTGCAAAGTACAAGAAAAATATATTTTTAGGGTGCAAATTAAAGTGAGTTTAAGATATTTTTATTATATTGAAGAAAATATGATAGAAGAACTTGAATATTGTGATTTAATCAATTAATTAGTCCGTAGAAAAATATCGTATAATCTAAACTTATCCGATATAGATAATCATACCAGCTCTAAGTTTTCCTAAAAATAATAAAGAAATGAGTACTATACATGGTTGTATGTTATATATGAAATGGCAAAAATTGGCCAAAATAATTAAATCGAAAGTGTTGTACTTTGGAAAACATGTGTTTGTATAGTTGTATATATTGTCAAGACTCTCTAGTTGGGGGCTGCTTAAGCTAACTACTCTGTTTTCTTCTGTTGGATGAACTGTTTTATTCTACTCGTTCAACATAAGACAACTAACTATTTGCCCTTATTCGCATATTTACACGCAAACATAATTTGGATTCATATTCGAATTCAGGACATTTTATTTGATTTGACTCTGATACTATAGTAAATGATCAGGTCAATCGAAAATTTATGATGTTAGTTAGACTTGGATGTATCATAATCATTTAATATTAGGGTAAAATACAACTACCTCCCTGAGGTATGATTAAATTACGAAATCCCCCCTCATGTTTGGGTGATTACAACAACCCCTCAACTATAAATTTTCTTATACATCCCCCCTTGCGGTGTCAAATTTGGTACAAACTTTTTGATTATATGGAATGTTATCACTTTTGTACCCGTTTTATCTCATTCGAGCTCCACATTTTGAAGCAAGATGATCATAAGATGTGTTTTTTGGTTTGTATATATATATCAGATTGTGGTGCATCAAAAACTGTATTTTCACACAAAACGAGTACAACAAGACCACATTTCACGGAATCTAGATGATTATGTTGAATTGAACACCATAAGGATGGAGGTATAAGAAGATTCATAGTTGAAGAGGGTAAATATAATTATCTAAACAAGAAGGGAATTTTCGTAATTTTATCAAACATCAGGAGTAGTTGTAATTTACCCTTAATATTAACATCTAAATAATATTTATGTACTATTCACCTGATAGATTATGATTTTAAAATTCGTCGGCCATATATGACTTGAAAGTTTTAGATTTCTTTTAATTTTACAATTAAAATGTGCATTATACAAAACTAATATTTAATCAACAACTAGTTAATTGCGAATTTAATTAGATATATAGTTTGTCACCGTCAGTCAATTATTTAGTGAAGTTTCATCTTGACTTATCAATCATTTTTTTGATTACGACGTTTTTACTATAAATCAATCACGTACAAAACATTAAAAATTACAACTCGAAAATTAATATTATATCAATTTAAAAAAAAAAAGAAAAAAAAATTGCCCTTGGTGTCTTGTTCATGGTGGAATAACAGAGCGTTGTGTCGATTGATCTGAGTTACGGGACTAAAAAACTCATTTTGCCGAAAAATCAAAATTTTACTCATTAAATCAATCATTGTACAGAAAACCAAACCACCAGAACTGAGATTACAAAGGAGCGTAAATTTACGTACGACCAATATATTATAATAAATGTAATCGATACTCCGTAATTACATAAAAGTGGAATTATAACATTAAAAAAATTAAAAAAATCACTTGCAATTCAAATTCTCCACCATTCTAGTAGCCAAATTGACAATCCAATCACAATTCATGTTTCCAGATTTATTCTTCTTAATAATCTTCATTAGATGCACCTTCCCATTAACCCTAGCTTGGCTGCTCAGCCTCAAAACCCCGGAATTTATGTCATTGCCCAAATTCGTATTATTACCGTTCAACCTGTCCGAATTTAAATCGAAAGAAACGTTAAATTTCAATGTTTTTCTAGCTTTAACACGTCCCCGGGGAATAACAGCTTCACCGAGTGGTACCCCATTGTACAAGATGGCAAGCGTGGCGTTGTCGTACTTGAATTGCCCGAAATTGGTGTTCTTTATCGTGAGCTGAGTCAGCAGCTTCATGTTGATCGAAGGCGTGGGGCCCGCGTTGTTGCCGTTGTTTGAGCTGCTGAAGCTTTCGACCGCAATTGCATTGAGTCGGATTTTCGGACTTTTTATTTTCATAACCGTGAGAGCTAAAACCATAATAACGGCGGCTTGGAACACCACGAACACCGCCACGTAGGCCAAGCATTTCTTGCTGCTCTTTTTCCCGTCACCTTTCGACATTTTTTCGGTTTAATACTAAGTATGTTATTGGATGTTATAAATTGGTTTGTTATATGAGAGAAAGGGTTGTTTGTGTGGATATATATATATATAGAGAGAGAGAAATAAAATTAAATTAAAGTTGTCAAAGACATAGCATAAATAGAACCGTTTACATTTTGAAACAGTTAAAAGCGTGTTTTATAGGACTATTATTTTGACTATGGTGTAAAGACACGTTTTTTCTCTAATGATTTATTCTACAAATTAATTATTGATTTTTTTAGTACAAATGTGTTACGTTCGTTATAGATGAAGCAAGAAATTCTGAGTATAAAATAAAAAATTTACTAAAATAATGATATATAAGTTTAATTACCATCTTTTCCAAAAAAAAAAATACCATCTACCATCTATTTAAAAATTTAAATAAAAATTGTAACTACCGAAGCGGGTCCACTTCTAGAAAGCATGGAAAAATGAAAAATGAATAAAGTTGTACATTTCATGCGTTGTGTATACAGACGAATTACGTACATATTCAATAGTTCAATCGAAATAGGGTAAATAGCATTTAACTGCTCCGTGGTTTAGTTGTTTGACACATAACCACCTTGTATTTGTGATATAGTTACATAAATCCTTTGTATTTTTCATATTGTAGCCAACGTTAAATTTTCAGTGAAAGTTAACAAGTCGTGCGTTTCAAATAGTCAAAATCTGAGTGAGGGGCTTTTTAAATGGTTATGCTCTGATGGAGCAAAATTTGCATCTTGAAGACCCTTCTTCTAACCTACTTCATTGATCGCCGGAAAATCTCACCTATTACCGGAACTATGACCGACGGAGACGAACAAAACGGCTGGACGATAGTTAAAAAAAAAAAAAAAAAATCATCCAAGAGAAAGTACAAAAATTGTGATTGTATATGCACGTAACCCTAATCAATTTTTCTTACATTTATTTATATAGAGAGTTTTTAAGGAAACATTGTCTAGTCTAGAAGTACTACTTGATTCGTGCAAGATGTGATTGTGATTACCGCGTGAAATCTCACACCTTTCTTTAGCTATTTATGGAGAAGATCCGCAATTCAAGCTTCCCAATGGTCTTCGGATCAGCTCGCCACCTAGCTACCTCACCTCATTTGTCCTTATCTAAGACATACCGGGGACATATGGCGAACTCTCCTTTCCTTTTGCATTGATTCTTATATTTCGAACTCTGACCAGGCAAGCTCCAGACGTATAGAGTGAACTATTGGTTTTCTTAAGTTTTTTGTAGTTTGTCGAGTTTTCGGCCTAATAACTTCAAGTATTGTGGGTCTAGCCCAATGGTGCCGAACTGTCCTTCGTCAAGTCAATTGGATTTTTTGGGATCCACTGGATTTTCAATTCACTAAATCGGTATGAGAGTTCGACCAAATGGTGCCGAAATGACTCCATCATGTTCATTTCTTGTTTAATGACGAATTTCTTTGGTCGGTTTTAGAGTTTTGTCATTTGTGTTGCGAAGGCTAAAAGGGGCGAATTCGAATGCGTAAACATATGTTTCGCTCTTTCCTAGTTTCGATCTTGTGTTCTTTATTTTGTTCATTTTTTTCGTTTTGTCTTTTTTCTTTTTCTTTTTTTTTCCTTTTTTTTTTGTTTCTTGAAAAATGACATGGACGACAGGTCCTTGTCTGGGCCGAAAGAGTTTGAGGCCCAAAGAAACAAAATAAAGGCCTTTTTTGGAGGTACTTATAACCCGTTTTATACTTGTAGTTTGTAACAATTAATATAATAGGCTGCACATATTTACATTTACTGCAGTTAAATATCTATAAATTGATATAGTTTGGATCAATCAAATTTTATTAATTTTTCAAAATATTAATCTACCTTGTTCTCCTCGAGTCGGGATTCATTATCGTGTATTAATGTATCGATGTTCTAGTTAAACCTCTATAAATTAATACGATCGGTACTAATAAAATTCTATTAATTTAGCGAAATATTATTACCGAACTAATAATTTAGTATTTTTTTATCGAGCCTTACCAGAATAAATTATTATTTATACGAAATGATTAATTTATCGAGATTATACTTAGTCAGTCTAATATTATATACTATTACCCGCCTACCCGGGCAAAAAGACCAATTTTGAGTTGTCTTACTAATAATACTAATTAATTAATAAACACACATAACGATATTTTCTCTAGACCAAATTACCCTTTTAATTATTAACTTGTCTCCCAATATAGATCTAACCTATTTTAATTATATATACAATCCACGTGTACATGAAGTATTAGTAGAAACCCATAGAAATTTTTGTCTTGTTTTTCACAGACCACAACAAGAGGGAAGATCTTGCTGGGAAAATGGGAAAAAGATTTCTCATCATCTGTTTTCTTTCTTTTTTATTGTTTTTGTTTTATTACATGAAACGTGTGTAGACAACAATTTGCCACGTCATTTAATAAATTATAATATTAATATTATTTAATATAATCGCCAATGATAGACAGCATCGTGGTACAACAACAGTTGTGCAGTGATATGAAACTTAAATTAATATATCATATGATATTTTTTTCTGGTATGTTCAGTTTTTGATCTTCTTTGACCGTATATAGATTAGTTATAGAGAGAACTCTACGTGAGAAATGAGTAATTGAATAATTAGGGTTTTTGGGTTTTCTCGATTTATGGACCGTTAGTAAGAGGATTCAAATTTGGGTCAATTGACACCAGAGCCGGTTCTAACTATAAGCGAAAGAGGCGGCCGCTTCGTGCTCCTGATTTTTAGAAAAAAATAGGGGGCCCCAAATAATGTTTATATATATACTAGTCATAATATTAAATGATACTTCAAATTTAAAAATAGTTAAACAATTTGAATAACTATAAATATATTATTTTACATAGGTCAAGTATTTATTGTAAATTCTTACATTATTCTAGCATTTGATGTGAATGAAATGTCTTAGATCAATTACAATTAGTTAGATACTGAGTTCTTGTATCAAATTTTTTATAACTTTTTATTTACCTTAACTTCGTCAATATTTTAATCATGTTTTCCCAGAAATCCTAACTATTAATCAAAATATCTTGTCCAGACGTGTTCATTAGAATGAATTAATGTGTATATTATACAATACAAATCGGGGGCCATTTTTAACAAATTCTTAAAACTCGCCTAGGGTCCTCAATTTCTTAAGAACGACCCTGATTGATACAAACTCACTTGATCCGACCGCTAGGCGTACGTCATCCCTTATCAGATATTTCTTTATATCCTTCAAATACAACAAATGTGTTGAGTTAGTTTATTTTATTATTTTCCAAAAGAGGATGCTGAAAAATAGATTTTCTTTTCTTCTTTTGTAGTCAAAGGAAATGGTCAATGATTTTCTACATCAAGATTATCTTTTCTTAGACTCTTACCTCTTTAATTTTTATTTTTTTTCCAATTATTATATTCTTCAATTTTGGTCTTGTTCATTTGTCTCTTCTGCTAATTACTCAATCTTCTTCCAAGAAAGCAGCTTGTTTAGACATATACCTAACTCTTATTCCAATGTTGTCCTAATTAACCAAAAAGTTGAATCCAAGCATTGAATTTTTCTGAATTATATCAATTCAAGTGCCACTTTAATTTCTCTAACACTGTTAATTGAATCATTACACTCAATGAGCATTACATATTGGAAATGGATGTAAAGTCACGACTTGCACTTTATTTCATTAAGTTTTGGACATCGACTCGAATCAGTGGTGGAGTCGGTATAGGGGCAATGGGAGGCTATGGCCCCCCAACATTTCTCAAATCACTAAAAAAAATTAAAAATCGTGTGTAATAGCATTATCGAGCCTCTCGTCATACAATTCTTAATTCATTATCGCAGTGAAATAAATAAAATAAATATTATTAGAGAGAAATAGAAAAAATGTTGAAAGTGAATTGCCACCGGTGTAAAATTCTCATGCATGCATGCAAGCCATAGGTATAAAATTCTATTTGTATACACTTTCTAAATCTTTGACAATTAACTGTCAAACACATGCACACATGTTTCTGTCTCGTGTGTGTGTGTGTATATATATATATATATATATATATATATATATATATATATATAATCGGTTGTTCAGTCATCAATGGTGTAGATCAGGCCACGTTCTCACCAACCATATATCCGATCTTAATTAGTTAATTAAGCATATATAATAACATTTTAATTAGATGTTAATTTTGTTTTTATAATCTTCTTTATAAATATATCTAAGATCGACGACCAGTTGATCTTGCAGCACTCTATTACAAAACATAATTAAGACACATATCAATATGCTTCTCTTACTGAAATCTAAATCAAGAACAGTCCACCATTATCAAGAAGAACAAGAAAACAACGACGACGACAATATTATTAATATTCGTAATAATCGGATAAACAAATTAGAATCTATTTCCCTCACAGTTTGGAGAAAATCACTTATTTTTAGCTGCAAAGGGTTCACCGTGATTGGCTCCGACGGAAGTTTAGTCTATAGAGTCGATAATTACACGGGACGCCCTCATCGAATCGTACTCATGGATGGCTCGGGCGAACCAATCTTCACCGTATGTCGTCCCAAGGTATATTTATATATATCGAAATTAATTATAATATATCTAACCATGTTTTAATTAATCTTAGTACTATATTTCTTTTCTGGCTTATATATTTTTGTTTTCTTCTTTTTATTTGGTTAGAAGCTGAGTATAGTGAACAACTATTGGCTGATTTACGAAGGAGATGAAGTAGGGAAAGACGGTATAAATTCATCGTTCAAGAAACCTATTTTTTGTGTGAGGAAAAATCTAAGCATAATGAAGTTCACGAGACCGAGTGTTATTGCATATGTTTATAATGGGGTGTCGGAAAAGAAGTGTGTGTACGTGATTGAAGGCTCTTATGAACACCGATCGTGTACGGTTTTCGACGAGTCGAGAAAGATCGTGTTTGAGATCAAGAAGAAAGAATGCTCGAGAGGAGGTGTGTCGTTTGGTTCGGAAGTGTTTCATTTGATTGTTAGGCCTGGAATCGATTCGAGATTCGCGATGGCTATTGTGTTATTATTGGATCAAATGTTCGTATCGTGACTTGGATACAGTTTATATAAATTCTCTTGCTTTTTTCTTTTCTTTTTTGTTTTTTTGTTTTTTTGTTTTTTTTTTTTGCGCGCGTTTATAAAAATTCAAATCTTTTTACAAATTAGGAAAGTAAGGGAGCTGCAGGATTTGAACGATAGAGTAGATTGCACTTTGTCTTCTGACGATATATACTAACAAAGTCGATGATTTGTAAATATTAACAAACACGTGGTAATGTTGTAAAGAAAAACTTCTGGTTTTTCCATATGTATTCTAGGCACCATGATTTGGTAAACTTTGAACACATCAGAACAAATCCTTCAAGTCGTATTTCAAATAAATATTCTAATTTTTTAGCTATCTTCGAAGCGCCTGTAAGAGTAGCGTAGTTGGCTAAGTAAGAGAGCCCTGAGTCAAATTACACAAAATCGAATAGCGTAGTTGGCTGAGTAAGAGAGCTACGAGTCAAATTACACAAAATCGAACTTGCTCGTCTATCGAGCCAAGGTATGTCTGCAAATGCTATTGTAGATGCTACACACCCAGGTAAAATACATCGAGTTGTGTGTGTGTGTATCTATATATATATATATATATATATATGTGTGTGTGTGTGTGTGTGTGTGTGGATGTGGGTCAAATATATATATATATATATAGATCTATACAGGTGCATGATAAAATATAACCCGATAAAATTCTCGAAGTATAGCATAAAACAAACCGTCAAATGTGCATTTGTTGTTGCCTTTGATAGCAATCATTTTGTTTAAAACTGCAAAACTAGTAAAGAGATTTTAAATTGTCAAAGTACCCCTCCATTTTTGTCTGAATCTTCCTCACCTTTTCGAGTTGGGACCAACTCATAAATATTCCATTGCCCAGCGCAAAGGCAAAGACAACGGAAACGTTAAAACGATTGTACAACAGTACAACATCTCGAAACTCTCGTCTCTCATGAAGAAGACAAAAGGATGAAAATATCACAACACAACCTCTCTTTTTACATGGTGACACTATATACAGGATCTAACAATTGTACATGATATCGGCACCTAAATACTCTGATCAAATAACAATTTACGAGCAAAGAAAGAAACTGTGTGCTGCGGCCTCTACGTTTATAGCCACTCTACTCGAACGACTTCCAGATCTTCGGTTTACTACTGGCGGGCTTGTCTTCTCTCCTCTGGGTTTTCATGGCAAACGGTTTCTTTACAATGTTGGCACCATAAATATCTGTATTTGCATTTGAGTCCCTATATACCTTCCTAGGGGGTGGTTTGAATGTTTCTCTCTTCACAGGCTCGGTATGACTGATGTAGTAGCCATTAGTAGTAGTAGTTACGTCTGTGGAGAGTTTGAGCTTCTTGGATGAAAACCCTTCACCTTTTAAAGGATTTGTTGGTCTCTTTGTTGATTTTGGTGCTTGATCGAGCAGTTTATCCGATTGCTCAATTGCTTTCGACTTGCAAGCTTTAATGGCTGTCTGGGGATGTCTTTTCAGCGACTTCACCGATGCACATGGATTTCCCTTGGCGAATGCAGCGATGTCTAAGAGTGTTTGAGCAGCAGCACGAGCAATTGAGTGCTCATCTGGTGTTATCGAGAGAACAATGTAAAGAAAAGGACAAGTGAGATTTCATATAAGGTCTGTAAAAAGAACCGCATACGCAGTTAATGGTATGGGACAAAACTGGCATTTAATAGAAATTAATCGAGTTAAATCGCACATGATAAATGGAAGACGAGAAACAAATTTATATGAACACCCAACAAAGATTGTACAGAGAAGTATTATTATTGAGTCAACTTAAAAAACATTTGCCAAATGAACCAAATTCTTGATTGTAGATGGATATTCTACATTAATTCAATTCGTGCGATCAACAACTATTTGCGTAAATAAATGAAGTTGTGAAGAGCATTTTGTTCTGCTCAAAACAAAGCATGTTTTTACAAATTCTTATTGGTTACTATTACCTTACTTTTCTGCTTAAAGTTGTACATGAAGTTACTGAAAGGCATAAAAAAGTTGCACCGAAATGACGGTAACATTTAATAATAGATTGCAAGTCTCAGCAGTGCAACGCCTCAGAAGTGTACCCTACAGGCCAAATATTCAGCGAAGATAGCACGCCTACACCTAAGTTGTAAATTCCACAAATTTGATGTGATGGGAGACATTCTCATAATATTCATATGCATATTGCTGCTGACAGTTCAATTTGAAAAAAAAAAATATTGAAGATAAATATGTATGCAGGAAATACATGGGAATGTTAAGAGCAGAAGCGAAATCCTGATAAATATAATAATAACTAATAAAAATCAGGAATTAGATGAGATTTACCTGCAATGATCTTTGAGGTCGAGCATGCACCGGAAGCAGATAAAACCCTTTCAATTGGAGCAAATTCGTTTGCTGGATGATTAGATGTAAAACTTGATGAAGGAACTAAACTTTGGTCAAATGACAGAGATTCAAAGTCTGTCAGTAAGTCAGCAGAACCTTTCTGAAAAGCAGGGGGTTTAACTTTTACCCATCTACCTTGGCATATTGTCCGGGTTGTGGATAACTTAACAGCATCAGATCCCAACTTATTATGCCCGGAAAAAGAATGAGACCATGGAAAAGGTGGAAGTCCAGTTCTGTGAGAAACTTGTTTGCCTGGACGATGATCAGTACTATTTTTTGATGATGAAGTGTTTTTGCCCGTATCTGAAAGTAACAAATCCAAATCCTTCGGTGGAGGAAGTGCAAGACACTCCAAGACATCTTTTGGTTTGTGTAGCGGGAAATCGGCGATGTTAGAAAGTTTGATCTTCTCATCAGATTCTTGAGCCTTCAAAAGAAACTGTAGTCAATTCACGAGTCATATATTATACATTTTCATGAGTATGACTCGTTCTTAATCCTATCGAATTATATAAAAAATAACAAAAAAAAAATTGACGTAGCACAAATTCGGAGCATAAGAAATATTAGGAGGGCACGCATCCATATATCTGAAGCTTGTAATTTGCATATATAAAAAACAAGGTAAAGCTACCAATTTACTATTTAAAAACAATGAAAGCATCCAGAGCAGCATAAGAATATAACTCCTATATATATGCATGATTAGAGTTTTTATTATTCTGCCATTTTGATACTTCATAAAATCAAAAGACTTGACACAAAAATTCAGACAAACCTTGTCGGAGGAAGGCAGCTCTCCGGTGCAGCCATCTATTTTGTTGCCATCAGTTTGGGCTATTGCAGAACTTACAGTAACCAAGCCAGTCGAAAAATTCCGCAAACAACTGCCATCAATCTCACCACAATTTTGGGGCGGCGAGACCTTTGGAGCTTGAAGAACAGACCACGCACTTCTAACTGACTGCAAAAGACTGGTGTTCGGATTTGCAGCTTTTTTTACTTTGTCTTTGGCAACAGGACAGTCATAATTTCCATGGAGTAGCTCATCTAAAGACAGCTCATTGACATGTTTTGTGATGTCAAACTCATCAGGTTTTAAGCCATATATTCCTGAATAACTTGCCTAAAGTCAGATCAATACTCTAATAAAGTAGTTTCTTGAGAATTGATAAGTGAACAACATTCTTCATCGTCCATAAATGAAAATAAAGAATGCAAATAGTTTCATCATGTACATTGAACTGTTCAGATAATGCCAAAAAATTATAAATATTCATCCATTTCTAAACATGCTCCTATGTACCAGAATCCTGAGACCACCAATAGCTGAAAGGATTAGATCTTCAGACAAATACAGGATTCGATTATCAAATAAAGCAGGATAGCTCAATGGCTTCTCACACATATATTAATTCCAATTAAAAACTTGAGTCAATACTTTATAAACACATAACTTAAGTGTTTCAAGAAATATTGTTCAAAAGCGAGTACTGGTATTATGAAATCCTGAGAAGAAGCGAGTATAACACCAACTGTAGCTTCAGTATCTGATGGTAGTAGGCGTGGTAGCTAAGCTATTACCAATTTGTCCAAAAGAAATTTGTCAACAACCTTACACTCGAACTATATCAAGCGGAACAAGATAGAAACTCATGATAAACATTGAATTGGATAGAAAGAGGAACTGTTTCATACCCAAAAAGTTATTTCCTCCAGCAGCTGAATTAAAGCCGATCAAGCCATTTTTAAGAGAGAAGTCACATTTTATCTTGTTCTTAGCTTTACTGTTTCTTTTGTCGCCACGTTTGCTGATCGAACTGTTCTTTTCCTTAACCAGTTGATTTTTCTCTACAACAAAAAATGGAGAGAAGTGTCACTTGTGCAGCGTACAGAAATTAACTGAAAACTCAAAAACAGAACAACAAAAGCCAATATGGGTAAATGTTAATAATCAGAGATGTAAACTTATAACAGCCAAAAAAAAAGATAGGTATAAGTGAGTTGATATGCCTTTCTGATAGCAGACCTCATAACAGATGTGCGGCAATAGAGTTCAATCATATATCAACCTGTCACTTTATGATAAAGCCAAGTATTGTCATACTAAAAGCTCAACAGCGATCTCGTTAAATAGGAAGATATTACTAATATTTCATACCAACATATTACTAATATTTCATAACAACGAGGTCATTGAACCAGAAAGATACTAAAAGGAAAAGCGTGTAGAAAACAAAAGAAGATATAGACGCTTTAGTCTAAATAATAGATTGAAAATGCTATATCAACAAAACTATTAAGACATGCCGTACCTGATATATTGCAGCTTGCAGATGATGAAGCAAGCTCGGGAGAAATTCCTTTCACATCACGTAATCCAGATTTACTTTTAGAAACTTCCATCTGTACCATCCCTGATCTCTTAGTGCTTCCACTATTTTTTCTTACCACTTTACCAGAGTTCTGTGCTATAGGTTTAGCATCTCGATCTAGAGTAGAAGAAATAGACTTCATGTTTCCAAAACCACGTTCATCTGAAATAACATCACTGTGTAAACTGGAGGGTGGACGGGCCTCCAAACCAAGTTCAGAATCAGGAATCTTCCGCAAAAAAGCTGGCGCTGAGACATTAATAGCATGAATGTCATCTGAAACAATCATATTTTTGGGCAAGCATTATATTACTGGAAGAAACTTATACATCATTTAATAATTTTATCACTCAAGGAATCAAAATAAAAAACTATATGCATGCAATTTTTTTTGTTTTACTCAAGGAATCCATCAAGTCAAAGATAATAGTTTTTTATCCACAATACATAAGCAATGACATGGATTCAATATAGCAAAATTATGAACAAAAGATGAGAGAGGTAATCTCTGATGACCTTCACATAGTGCACCTAGATCATGATAATCCCTTCGTAGATTACGAATTACTTTTGGCATAACTACAAAATCATATAGAGCAAAAAACCTTCACACTCATCTGAGTACTGTCAAGAAGAATGAGAGTGTATGGCATTCTAGAAATACCTGAAGTTAGGAAAAGTAATTATTAAACAACCGTTTCAAATCAATTGTAGCTTTTCCATGTCATGTTGTCACTTTAGAATACCAATTTTTGCTTTAGTAAACTTTTTTCCATGTTTGCCCTTAATGACTCCTGTACTCTATCAAAAGTTAATTCTCACAAATGGAGAGAGTAATTAATAAAAAGAAAATTAGTTGGAAGGGTAACGTAGTACTATTATGTATCTTTTCCTAAAACAAATACATATTTATTAGTTTTTATAACACATATGCCAAAACCTTCTCTTTTTATATTGAATAGATATGCCATAACCTTAAACGACAATGATTTTAAAACGCAAAGGAGTATTTTCTTATGGGTGTATCGTCTCCTCAACATTTAAAAGAAAAAATAACATCACATACAAAGTAGGAGAAAATCAGAAGAAGCATAAAATAAACATTTAGCTTACACGTGTAAACAAAAATTAGCTCGGAAACTAATTTGAGTTAATACGTTTCCAAAACGACTTGTTCTCTCTGGTCAAACATATTCAAACCCTCATCTCATATCTACGGAATGATATAAACACGTAGTACCACTTAAATGCTGCAATTACTATATTCTATTTCACCCAACAGACTTGCAAACAATACCCCCTTTATATAGTGATAAAAGCACGAAGCAAATCAATTAATGAACTCTCAAACCATATCACTTCGACCGATACTCACTACCAAAACAACGAACGGTCAATAGACTGTATCATACAAATCAAACGTGTAACAACATTCAGCTTAATTATTAAAATTCACAGGCATAAACAAATTCAGATCAACTTTTTTTATTTGTCCATAAATCCAAATCAACTTTTCGAGTAACTAATGGTTGACAATTGAACCTCAAAAATCCACTTTCCAAAAAGAATCGATAACTTCTCACACCCAAAAAAATAAAAATAAAAATAAAAATCATTAAAAAATACTTCAATAAAAAACAGGAGCTGATCATGTAAACACTCACCCTTTTTACCTCCAGAGCTGCATGCACCTTGCACATGCCACCGAACTTCCCCAATCGCAACACCGCCGCCGCTGCCGCCGCCGCTGCCAAAACCCTCCTGTGATCCCATGAGCCTCTCCGCAACCGCTGCCGGGAGAACCACCTCCACCGGCGATTCCATTCACCTCCAGAAACACCAAGTCGCCAAAACCCCGAAAAAATTCAACAATATTTCCATATCAATCAACAGGCACGAATAGAACGATATTCCCAATGAATTCTCTCAAATTCGAGCTGATTTCACAGAATTGAGAGCGGGGCTGAGGCAAACGGCGGCGAAGATCGGGGCTCCGGTGGAGTAGAGGCACGATTTGAAGGGCTAAAATGGATTAGTTCAGGCGGGGTGACATGTTGCGGCTGAGGAAAGAGAAAGTCTAGGGCACGAAAATGAGGGGAAAGAAGATTAGAGTATTTATAGTTTTCGGGAAAAGCAGATAAAAAAAGAGGGGTATATTCCAGTGCGGGTGGCGTCACCGTGATCCCGTCAAACCCGATTATTTTATTATTTTCTTTGTCTACGTGCTTTATAGATGCTTCATTTTTTATTTTTTATTTTTTCTTTTTTCTAAAGTAGACACAATATATACTAGATACGACATTTTTTATTTATTCTTAGTCCCTCAATTCTATCGCAATTTCACTTTTAGTTCCTTATGTTCCCAGGTGAACAAATTTCACTATCAGTTTATCAATTTACAACACTTTTGGTCTAATTCGTTAGTTGAACGTTTAATTAGGACTAACGAAAGATACATGTTTGGGACTAAAATTAGAATTTAGAGTTTTGTTAGGGCTAGAAATGGAGTTGTAAGTCTTTTTATTTTTAATTAGCGGAATTAGCTGCCATATTAGTATATAAATGCGGTGGTGGTCGGGACTCTTACTTGCTCGGCCCGATGCATGCCCCTTAGGTGAAGAGGATTTCTGATTTTTCCACGTTGTTGACACATCTTTTTTTCGTGAGTGGTGGCGAAAATTGATAATATATATGAGAACGCCATTGTTGTTGAAGTAAATGTGCGTGTGTGTGCGCGCGCACGGTGTTTATCTATACAAAAATAAGTTGAGATCTTACTCGATAAAGTTCATTGGTTGTACAAATCCTCCTTGTATGGAGTTATATAAGCACATAATCTACACGTGATTCTTAGTGGGCAACGTTAGTTTTATCTATTAAAGATAGTAATTTGTAATTTAAGCCATGGGTGTAAATTTTCAAAAATACCCAAAATGGTCTTTTTATTAATGGAAGTCCCCCATGTTTACTTTAAATTATTTTTTTCATTGTCTTGCTTGTCTTCTTCCTCAACTTGTATGTGAAATTTAATTACCTTTTAAGTGTTTGCAAAACGACAATAAATAGAAAAAAACTAGCTGATTTAGTTATAGCAAAATAAAAATTGATTAATTACATCGTAATCGCCATTGCCAAAATTTTCGTCATCTCTTTATTTTCTTCTCGTCATTGTGGTTACGATATTCTGAAATTCCTAACTCTTCAACTTTGATGATATGAAAACATTAATAAGTTTGAAATTCTTTTTAGTCCTCTATGAGTTTTGATGATATTTGAAAACCCTAATTTGTATGAAAAACTTTGTGTTTCTTGTAAAAGGAAGAATGAATGTCTTCTAAAAAATAAAAAATGAACATAAAAGAACCCCAATAATAACATTATATAATCAATATGTATCAAATGTTTGGAATTTAAATGTGAAACTAATGATTGAAAAATCATATGCAATACCAAAATTTTGACATATTTAACGGGAAAATTAGCAAGACATCAAACACCATCCCCCCACCCCATTTGCAGTTTTTTATGTATGTATGATGTTTTTCTCTGGTTAATTGGAGTCATGTCAGTGTTTATGTTTGTTGATACAGTATAGTCGTTTAAGGTTTGTATAGCTTTTTTTCTTTCTATATAGATGTCTACCACATTGAGGATTAATTTTATTGAGGTTTTGAGGTTTCGTTGTTGTTAAAAGATGCTCGAATGCGTTGATTTGGGACGCACTCGTGGATTTTGCGAGTTCTGAATGGGGAAAGTTGAACAAACGTAATATAATGTTAACGTATATTCTGGAGGCGAATGGTGAGTCTTTTCTTTCGGACGACGATGTCATGGTTTTGATGTTTGATATGATGAAGGTGTTGTCGTTAGAGCGTATTGAGGTCATTGTCAAAGAGAAATTTTAGCTTTGCTTGGTGCAAACATTTCTTTTATGATCATGCGCAATGTCCCTTGATTGAGGATAACATGGATGTGGTTGTTAACGTTGAGAAAGTTGTTGACTTACTTTGATTAAGATGTTGGACAGGTTTTTGAGGGGGAGTTGATGAATTTAAAAAATGACTGATTAAGTTTTCGGTTGAAATGGTCTTTGAGTTTGCGTATGTGAAGTATGAGTGGTATAGAGTGACAATTGAATGTAGGTTTAAACAGGAGATGCAATGTTCACGAAGAATACATGCATCCATTTCTAAATCGGATGGTTTTTGCTACATTCAAAAGTACAATAAAGTCCATGGAATATTTTTTGGCACTATAAATAGGATGAGGTTGACTTCCCGGTCATTATTGATTTAATTGAAGGTGATTTCAGAGCAATAGCAAGCATTACACCCCGTGATATTAAAAAAACATGTGATTTTTTTTTTGAGGTTGAGATTAGCGATTTAGCGGCTTGTACACAAATCTACCATCGTATTTTGCAGAAGCCGAGAGGACAAATACTTGTAGCATTTTCCATTTGGATATTAACGAGTCCAATAAAAAAATACAAATTTAAAATTCCCCTCTTTAGGGATTATTTTTAACTGAAATAAAGAAATATAAAATAAAGTTATATGAATTACAACTTGTAGGAAGATATATGTAATGTTTTATAATATAAAAGGATCCATATGTAATTAGACCTACTTTTAAAGGAGAACAATATAATTTACACAATATTTGATCAAGATTCAAGGGTGACAATATAATTTATAAAAAGGGGTCATTACAAATAAGCTCATCAATGGGTACTTATTCATAAAGAGATCCAGACAAAAAACTCATTTACCAATAAGTCCACACATGGTCCAGATTTTTGTAAAGGACTAAAATAACCCCTCATACTTTAATATGCTCCAATTTCATCCTTAACTTAATTTAACCTCAATTTGACCCAAAATTTCACAAATTATTCAATTTTGACCTAAAACTTTTTTTTTTCAATTTTTTTTTTCCCGCCGGATTCCGGCGTTGACTTTTCAATTTTTTTTTTCTTCTTCTTTTCTTTCTTTCTGTATCTTTTTTTTTTCGTTTAAACAGCAATATTGCTGTGATTGACAGTAATATTAACTATATTACTGCTAAACACAGTAAAATTAACTAAACTACAGTTTAACACAGTAATATTGCTATATTAATCTCTAGCACAGTAATATTAACACAACAAAACTCATTATTATTGTGTAATAGAGTAATATTACTATGTTGACCGTTCAACAAATGTAAACATAATAAAAACCAAAAGAATTAATATTACTGTGCGTGACAGTAATATTACAATAACAACAGTAATATTATCGTCAACCACAGTAATATTACAATAATAGACAGTAATATTATTACGTTACTCCGTGAATAACTCAAACAAACAAAAAATTCCAAACAAAATAATAATATTCATGTGGTTGACAGCAATATTACTATAACAACAGTAATATTACCGTCAACCACAGTAATATTATTGTGTTTATAGTAATATTACAATAATAGACAGTAATATTATTACGTTACTCCGTGAATAACTCAAACAAAACAAAAAACCCAAAAAAATAATAATATTGATGTTGTTGACAGTAATATTATTGTGTTTACAGTTATTTTACTGTCAACGACAGTAATATAATTACGTTGACTTGTCAACAAATCAAACAAAAAAAAAAAACAAAAAAAAAAATAATAATATTACATTAATTTACTGTCAACGGCAGCATAATTACATAAATGTATTGTCAATGGCAGTACAAGTACGTTAATTAACTGTCATTACAGTATAATTACGTTAATTTACTGTCAGTGACAGCACAATTACAGTCAACGTTTAGCGGCGAACGTAAAAAAAAAACTCCAAAAAAAAAAAAAAGTCAACGCCGGAGGCCGGCGTTGACCGCCGAAAAAATCCGGAAGAAATAAAAAAAAAAAAAATATTTCGAAAAGTCAACGCCGGAATCCGGCGGCAAAATTTTTTTTTTGAAACAAAAAAGTTTTCGAAAAAAAAAAGTCAAAATTGAATTTTTGTGGTCAAAATTGGGTTTTTGTGGACAAAATTGATTAAATTGGGGTTACAATTAAGAATTGAGGATAAAAAGTTGAGGGTAATATTGACATATACATGAATGTTTCCTTTATTTATAATAAATATGAAAGGGATGAGCTTATTGGTGAAAGAGATATAGCCCATAAACCTAGAATAATAAAGATGCTTGGTTGGGGACTTATGCACAAAAACCCTTTAAAAAAAAAACCAATCAAGAGAGTTAAATGTCAGATAATATCAAATTTGAAGGACCATACATGTAATTTCCAAAATTAAGAGGAGGTCCAATTATAAATATAATTAACTTCGAGGAGGTATTTGTAATTTAACCTATTTAAAAAACTTTACCCTTCGACAGTAAAACGTTTTCCACAGTAAAAACCTAATTTTACCTTGGGTAACCCTCAAAAGTTTTTGAATTACGGAGGATAAAATTCCCTCATTCCAAAATCCAGGAAAAGGGGAAGAGAAATTTTGCTGAGCAAGAGGTTTCTAGAGTAAACGAAAGGAATGGCAGGTATGGCACTAACGCCGGCTCCGGTGATCGGGAGAACATTGAACGGCGGCGGCGGCGGCGTCCGCCTCCCACACAACAGCTTAAACTCGTCGGGAGTGAACGCCCTCCGAATATCTGCCATGATTGAGCGCTTATCTCGTTTCGTCAACAACAGCAGTGAAACCGACGCTTCGCAGTTCTTAAATCTCTGCCTTTCTCTCTCTAGGTACTCCGATTTACGCGCCGTTTTTCTTATTCTACTTCTGATTTAGTAGATATTTTCTAGTGTAATAGCCAAAACGAGTTCTGGTAACGAGGGCTAAATTAAGTACCAAATTGATTTAGTTGTGTTTATACTAATGGTGTGCTACACTAGTTTTAGCTTGATGCATATGCATGCATTTGGCAACTGGTTTACTGTTAATCTATTTCTGTATTTGTGCATATGTAAGATTGTTTGAGTAATCTGTATCCCATTTGCCCACGGTTGATGGTGTATAGTGGTATACATGAAGGGAATGCACTTCTTTCAATGTTTTTGATATACAAGTGATGACAACCAAAATCTATTATGTCACTGAGTCAATGGAGATCGTCCATCTTGTGAAGTAGGTCCCGTCTTTTTGGGGATTCCGCGAATCATGTTGATATTCAAACTCTCATATACTTCGTCTAGTAATGTGGTTTGACATGAAACTTTTTCCTCGTAAATTTGATACACTGTTTTATTAGGTCTTCTCTGTGTTCTTTAAATAATATATCCGTAGAATCCTGTAATATCTGTTTTAATATGCACATTGTTGTTTCTGGATTGATTTTTTTGTTTGTTTAATATGGCTGTCTTCTTCCTCTTTTTCCCTCAATGCAGAGGAATTGATTTTGCCATTACAAACCATGAGGTTCCGAGCATGTCGCGTGACTTACCTTCACTAGTAAAGCAGGTAACAATATTATGACTGATTCTTTGACTTTTCAGAGATATGTATCAGCACTTTGAGGTATAATTAGGTTAGATGGTAAAAAGGTTTTTTGACTTCTGGGTATAAAATGCTGTCCCACACATATGTAGATATGTATGTATACATATATATCTGCAACTACTGCTTAGATTATCATGTCAGAAAACCATCTTTGCTATCCTCCAACTTCCTGATGCTCAGTATTTGGATGTAGTGATAATAGACATATTTGCTATGTGCTCTGTGCATGTACTTAAGTGGAGGGATTCTGATTTTGACAATAGAAGTAGGTTGGGAAGCCAAGCATCTTTTCAATTTTGTCTGTAAAAAATTAACAAAATGCCGTCGAACTGCAAAAATTTCAACTCTTGTTTGGTTAGCTTCGCCACGTCAGCCCATTTGTTTGAAACCTGACTCATTTTCTGTTATAAAAAAAATGATTTAGCTTGTTAAGTCAAAATCTCATCCCGCAGTCTTACCGGGATAGCATTGAAGCTTGTTGGAGACCTGCAAAAGAATGCTATTAGTACCAGTGGAATTGTACTCACTAGGAGATTTTTCATACAAGCTTTTACCTAAGCTTAGTGTTTTCTGCATTTCCATGCATCACTTGATTATGTGTGGTAAAAACAGTAGTTAGTTTCAGCTTATATTCCATATATTTGACTATGGAATATTAGATCATACCCAGAAATATATTTGCTACTAGCATGTGCTATAAATTTTTGCTGCTACCCTGTGCTTTGACTTCATTTTGATTTAGTTATGTAATATCTGGGGCCCTGGTTTAGATGATGCCATTTATCTGGCATTTGCGTATCATGGAAACTTTGGCCAGTTATGCACGACTCTGATTATTTTCTCATGTACATTACACAGCATAATGGTTGTTTATTGTACTTCTTTCACTGAATTGAAAGGCTGTTTGATCTTATTCTTTGCTAAGGTTAGTGTAAATATTTGCTGATATTCTCTGTACTACCATTAGTTTTTCTATCTCCCACAGGTCATGTGTGCTAGTCATGGCCCTTGATATGCCATCCTTAAATTTGTTTTCATATGTTAAATATATCTGTCTGAAGCTTTTTGTCATTCTATTTCAATAATTTTTTCTTATGTTTTCAGGTGTGCCAAAATAAAAATGATAACCTTCTGCAAGCAGCTATTATGGTCCTGATGATTTCTATTAAGGTACATTCTTTTGACCGGCCAATGTTTCTTACTGATTTTGTACTTCATCTCACCACTCTGATATAGCAAAGAATAGAAGTATGCTATGTGCGAGAGCACCAGATGTGTCATATATATGATTTTTTTTGGAGACTTATGGTGTTGAGAAAGGTAAAAAGTTATTAGCCATTTATGTAAAAGCTAGTTGGTGGTGAGAGCAATTATGAGAGGGTTAGAATTCATTTTCCAAAGTATGCATATGATTGAAATTCGAAGTATAATTAAGTTCCATGAAATGGAAATTACTATTAATGAAGTCATCTTCTGGGCTACACCAGTCAGACCTACCTAGTACCTAGTTCACTTCTTTTACGATGGTAGACTTGTTCAGAACCCATTTAAAAAATTCCACGTGCAAGACTTCATATCACGGGCGTGTTGGAGATATAAATAATAAATGATTCATCTCACCAGGTTAAGCTTTTAGAAGGTGGTTATTTAACATTTTAAATTGATATTCGTATTTTATTATTAAATATAAATGTGGAATTTGATTTATACTTTAAATAAAAAATACTAATAGTTAAGTAACTGCTTATATACTAATAAAAAAATATATAACTGCTTATATAAATTATTTTTACAAACAGTCAATTGGTCGGGTAATTTTCAAAATTTTAGCAACTACCAACCAAGCTAGTTATATGTGGGTCTGGTCTGTCTTTGATGGTTGGGCTGATGGTTGATTATCGGCCATAATTTATGGGTAAGAGATGGGTTGGTTTTCAGGTAAAACCGACCCATGAACAACCCTAATTAGGTACATCAGGGGCCCAAGTAATATGCATGTGGAAATTGCCTTTATCAAATTTGAACATGGTATTTATGCTATTACATGTTTTTATTTGTTCATACAATCCCATAAATTGGGATACTGCCTTTGCGTGAAGCACTCTAGACTTGAATACAAATTCTCCTCTTCTTTTACTGGTTGTTTTTTCTGAAACTGAGTACTATTTCGGCAGAGTGCTTGTCAAAGTGGGTGGTTTTCTGATGTAGATTCTGAAGAGCTCAGCAATCTGGCAAAGGAGGTCGGTTGGCATTTTATTAGTTTACACTAATTAGTTTCTTCTCTCATTGATTAGTTACATAATTCTCCTACCTTTTCTTATCATTGCAGATCGAGGGCAGTTTTTGTAGCGTGTCAAATTTTAACTCTGAGCCAAGCTGTTCGCTTTCGGTTATCTCAACAATTATGTCAAGGTGTACCATGTTTATGCTATTTTATGGCTTGGCACTATGATTTCAGTTTGTCATGTCAAATGCCGAGGGCGTAAAAGTTTTATATATTTGTTTGATATTTGGTACTGTTCTGCAAATTGTGGTAGATCGAAAAGACATGCCACAGTTTTATGTGTAATATGTGTCCGCAAAGCATCTGGTGTTACTTGTTAGGTGTGTAGTCAATATGTTTATGTATTTTGCATGTAGAACTTTTTCTATTTTGTCTGTCTTTTATGGGTGACAATTAGGCTATATCCAAACCGTCCACCGATGCTTACTTCCGTTGTTAAAAATAGATTATTTCTCCTCAGTGCAATGAACAGATTTATTTTGTGTTTAAGGCCACTTTTAACTTGCAACTGAAAGAATGTGAATATGAATGCAGATTCTATCCGAGAATGAAAATGGGTCATATCTTTTCTTTTCTTGAAGTCAAGGTGGGTATTCCCACTCCCTTTCTCCCAAGTCCTGTCCAGTTCTTATCTGATGTTTTTCTGCTGATGGTAATGGTTCGTGTTGTTCATTGTAGCCTGGATACTATGCTTATGCGAGGGACTTCCAGATTCCAAAGAATATAAAGTCTTCCCCAGGAGATCAAATAGTATGTCCAATCATTATTCTTGTGTTCCAACAACTCGTATCTACTTCATTAAGTTCATGAAAATTATAGGTATATATAGGACTCATGGTGTTGATTGTTTTCTCATCTTATCATTCCTTTTTCCCTGCAGAGGTTGTTTGTTGTCCAAACGGATAGTATTGAGACATCTTCCTGCCTTATTAGTCCTGCCAAAGTAAGGTAAGGTTTTTTCATCCCTGCCAACACCAACTAGAAAGGAAATGCCTTTGATTGCATCTCAACCGGTTATCGGTTTGTATTCCCTTTGCAGCTTTCTTTTGAACGGGCATGGAGTGGAGAAGAGGACTAATCTTTACATGGTTCGTTCCAGATTAATTATTAAAAATACTTGTCATTTTGTTCTGTTTGCGTGAAAGTTGAACTTGTATACATCTTTTGCCTATACTAGGATACAGGGCCACAAATTCCAACAGTTGTAACACCTTTGTTGAAATATGGGTCGAATCTCCTTCAGGCTGTGGGTGAATTCAATGGTATTCTTGGCTCAACTTTTCTTGTCTGTCATTTATGGTTTTCGTGTTAAAGGTACCAAATGTGCTTACTCTCGATATTGATTATTCTGAAGGAAATTATATAATAGTAGTTGCTTCAATGGGTGAGATGCGAAAGCCTGATAGTTACATCCTTCAAGATTATGAGCAGCAGGCTCCTGCAAGTGTGGATTCAGGTGCCTGTTAGATTTGGGAATATTTCAATACTTTTCTCTGAAAAGCAACAATGTTTATATATAAGGAATTGTGGTTACAATCTTTTCTTAAATGAGATGACATTGCTCATTAACCGCTGGATTAGTCATAGTTGTTGTTTGCTAACTTCTTTTCTTTTGCTCGATGTAGATTCAGAAGTAATTGTGGGGTCATCACGGATATCACTAAACTGCCCTATTAGGTAACCCCTCTCTCTCTCTCTCTCTCTCTCTCTCTCTCTCTCTCTCTCTCTCTCTCTCTCTCTTATGCTGCTTGATAAAGCTTCAAATGCAAAGAAAATTGATCTATTTGGGTACCTATCCTATTACAAGACAAAGCATAACAATCTGAAACTCCAGTAGATGCTTTAGGTCATGTCTTGATTTACTTAATATCATTTCGATTCCTCACCTTCTTTTTCTTCGTTGGCATCTTGCATGATCTTCTTTGCAGAATTTCCTCATCACCACTAATGTAAATTTTAGTTTATCATTTGTGACTACATAATGTTCGAGATCTTGCCTGAGCTTCTTTTCACAATTTTCTCGTCTCAACCAATATGAGTTTCAGTGTATCATCAATTTTGCATCTAACATCTGGTTGCATCTTTATGTTCTGCTGATCTTTTTTGATTGCTGTTCTTAAACTTGACAGCTTCACGCGTATTAAAACCCCTGTCAAAGGACATTCATGCAAGCATATTCAGGTAATTGCAAGTGTTACATACTTGAACAGAAGTTGCCCATATCTAGTGTTGGAACTGGATGCCACTTTTTCGTTTCACTTATTATTTGACAGTTGAAGTAGAAATTGAGTTTGTCTTATCAGGTGGTGTTTGTAAAAGCTTTTAAAAACTGATTGTGAGCTTTTTTTGGCTCTTAATCAACTCAAAAACCGGATGTGATGATCTTGCTTAATCACTTAATGGAGTAAACTCGGAAACAGTAGAAGTCAAACCAATTAAGATAATGACGTCCAAGTCACTGCATTATTCCTGGCCTGTTTCTTATGATATTTCATAACTCACTGAGCCAGTTTTGTACATTCTAATCTGTTTGAATATTTTAATTTTTATGTTACCGCAATACTAATCATGTCCTATGTTTCTTATGATCTTTGATAACTCGTTGATTCAGTTTCGTGCATTCTGATCTATTTATATATTTCAACTTTTCTGTTACTACAATACTAATCATGGCCTGTGTTTCTTATGATCTTTGATAACTTGTTGACTCTGTTCATGCATACTGATCTATTCATGTATCTCAACTTTTCTCTAGTGTTTTGATTTTGATAACTTTGTGGACATAAATTCAAGAAGACCCTCCTGGCGCTGCCCACATTGCAATCAGTATGTCTGCTTCCCTGATATTCGAATTGATCAAAATATCGTTAAGGCAAGTAGCTCATTTGCATTCACATTAATTTTTGTTACATGCACATGGGTATGAAAATACAGTTTCCTTATATTATCTCTAGAGTTTACAATACGTGAAATGTTTTTGTTTTATTTTATTTTATTTAAACTTATCTATTTGCATAGAAATTTATATACACACGCGTGTATATAAAAAATAGTAGACCTGTGATTTCATTTTTGCGGGCGAACTCAACTGGCACTCAGAAAAAAAAAGGAAAGAAAAGAATGATGGAACTGTTATCAATAATAGTTATAGTATATATATGTAACCATAAAAAGATGATGTTGGAATTTTGAATTTTCTCAGGTCTTAAAAGAGGTAGGGCCCAATGTCTCCGACATAATTGTCTCCTCAGATTGGTCGTGGAATGCTGTCAATGAAACAGAGGATACCACAAAGAAGCCAGAAGAGGATAATACCTTCAGTACTGGCCATGATTCGTCACCACAACCTGCTGATGTAATGGATCTCACTCAGACCGAAGATGCAATGGTTGCTTTTCCCACTCGCGAAACAACTGAAGACGTAAAACATTTCCCAGATGCCCGTCAAAGTCAACCTTTGACTCAGACCGCAGCAGTCAACACGAATGATGCTAATCAAACCGGCGGTCCTCTTGCTAACAACTTCTGGTCTGATATGTTAATGTCAACGTTTGTTCCACCATCGAATGTCCGACCCAATGCACAGATAGGAGGCAATATTCCCATCGACACCTTCACTAATACGAACAGAGAACTCGAGGCTTTCCATGGTAGTAATAATGCTCTCGATACAACTTCTGCGGCGAATACATTGCCGTTGCAGCAGTATCAATTTAGAAATACACCTGTCAATAATGACTACGGAAGGTTCCAATCAGCGCCCAGGCATATAACGAGAGTACCTAATGCAGTTCAGGCCCTTCCTGCTCAGTCTCCCACTTCAGTCCTTCAACGAGGCTCTGTAAATAGCCACAACTCCTTTACCCCAAATAGTCTCTCAACCACTGCACCAAACTTCTCTACAGCTTCTCGTGCACATCCACATCAGGTCCCACCGGTTTCTTCATCTTCTCTGCTCCAGCACATACAGGTTAACTAGTGCTCTTTCGTAGTTGACTAGTGTTTTTGGCCCTTGACTTTGTGAAATTGTTCCTTATTTGGTTTTTTTAATCATGTACCATAATATCATCACCTGCGTAACTATGATCCATGTTTTTCTGTGATACATATATGATATATTTGCTGTCTGTTTCTGTCACTATACTCTTTTCTGCCTCGTATGGTTGGCATTATAAACAATGATTAATTAAATATACACTTTATTTGATGTTTGGTTTGTCCAATAATTTTCGGGCCGGTCCAAATTTTTGGACCTACCTGAAAATTTCAGAGAATTTCACCCTTCTTTCATTGGAGAATTGTGTATTTTGGTACGGCCCAAAAATTTGGGGAGAATGAATTTTACCATTGTGTATTGGAGAGTTGTGCATTGGAAACAGTTAGGCCCTCACGTGATTGCATAATATTATCTTGGCTAATCCTATCTTTACAGTCAAATGATAGATACCTTTATTGGATTCTCAAAATCTCGTTTTGATTTTTTTGGCAGCAACAAAATCGTTCGTTCTCATCTGCTCAACCGCCACAACAGAATGCTGGTTTTCAGGACTCGAATCAGGTCCAAAACACATATAGACTTCCAAACGGACACAATCAAAGTCAGCAGATAGCAAATCTCAGGATGTCTCGAACAATGAGCCAACCTTCCATGCAATCTTCCGGAAGCTTCGTGCGCACCCAAACCCATGCAGGAGGAGCTCCACAAACAATTCATCAAACAGCAGCTCTGCCCAACAACTCCCAACAATCCCACCTCATTGCAGCTGCAAACAGAGCCGCACATATGGCCTTCGATCCTTCAAGAACTGCACCATCATCTGGAGTTGCACCGCAACCTATCACGAGGAGCGATGCATCTGATCCGACGGCCGATATGACGTGGCGCCCTGCTGGACGTATGCGCGGGGCCCTAGTTGGCCAGGATTACAACAATGCATATAAGCAGTACGTTATACGGCCTAATCAGCAAGCCCATCAAGCTGGTAATCCAATCGTGCCTAATCAACAATCCCAAGCTGTTAGACCAAACTCAAATGCAGGCTCGGTTCAGTTCAGGCCTGTGAATTGGGATGGTACGCCACATATCCCACATGGGACTCGGTAACTCGGTGAATTTGCTCTCTCTCTTTTTTTTTTTTTTTTTTTTCTCGTTTGGTGAATGAATCAAGAATGCTCGTGTTGAAGCTTAGCTGTCTCTTATTATGTCTATATATTTGGAGTCTGATTGGGAAATTAGGAAATGCAGATGTGATGTTTATGTATGCAGAAACTTTGGTATATATGACGTGGCTAAGAAAAAAAAGAAAACTAATTCCATGATGTCATAAATCTAAATTAATGTTGGTATTTAATATTATAATTTGTTTTTTCTTTCACAAAATCAGCTTATTTGAAAGATGTGATATGGTTTTGTTTTCATTTAAAGCAGTGATGTCTAAAATGCCTGTGGCATGACGTGTCCAATGGAGGAGCAAGGTTTTTTCTGAGGTGAAATACATGCACAATTCTTTTGTTGGTGCGACATTACTATAACTATTCAAAACATACCATATTTTTATGGACAAAATGCATATTGCCCCCTATAAAATTTTAATTTTTGCACTTTCCCCCCTACAAATTCTAAAAAGAGATTATCCTCTCTTCAAATTTTTGTGCTAGATGCATTTTGATTTTTGCCTCACAATCCAAATTTCGGCATTTTTTTTAATCCGTGCAATTGAAGGGCATTTGCATTATTTCAGGGATGAATCACCGTAAAAGCTGCTAACTGTAGAAAAAATTGAAGGTTCTCACAATTTTGGAATCGCAATAGACACAATTCAATTTGTGATGAAACAAAATCCTTTTTTTTTTTTTTTTCCCTTATGAAATTAGTGAAATGAGTTTTATTTTCAGTGTATTAGAAAATATAAGGATATTAGGATTTGGATGGCCATAATAAATGACTCAAATACCCTGAAGTGAACGGATAAATGACAGTTTCAATGAAAAATACGTCGGAATTTGTGATTTGTGAAGAAGTGCAACTGGAACGGAATTTTAAGAGGAAAGTCTTTTTTTTTTTTTTTTTCTTTTTTAGGGAAAAAAGTGCGAAAATAGAAATTTTCTAGGGGGTGAAGTGTATTTTGTCCTATTAGTTATTATATATAATTTTGAATTTGTTATCATATCAAACTAAGGGTGAAACTACTACATTATTCGAAAATTTCAACTCGGAATCGACGGAGAAATAAAAAATTCCATTCCAATTTTCACCCCATAATATCAGAGTACAATAACACTAATTATATATATATATATATATATATATATATACGAAGAGGGTAACTGTGATCGCAGTAGCTGAATT